TTAATAGAATATGTTTTATTTATTTTTATTTATCCAGTCTAGACAGGATGTTAATGGCTAGCGCTACTGTAAATCAGATGCAAAAAGACAGCACAAAATTTAGCGGCCAACAAACTCAACAAAGATAAGCACGTTTCTTAAGTAATCAAAGAGTAATGCTACCAAAGGGAACAAGGTATGTGTCGATGTAAAATGTGTAAAAAATATAGACTTTTATAAATATGTGAGTTAATAGTCATTATCCGATAAGGGTTAAACATGTAATTAGCTAGTGATTAGAAAAAATGGTTCGGTACATATAGTAATTTTGTGTTTCTGTTCTAGCTCTAATGTTGGTTACTTGATAGGGATGAACAAAATACATTTGTTTTACCATCAGTTCTGGCTTCATCCTAACAATAAACTGGATGCTACAATGCTCATACACTACACTCCCGTTGGAATAACACAGTCAATGAGCAAAGGAAAGTCAAAACATTTTCAAGTGCACAAACTTGTACGCTCTATACCGACTATGACGCTGTTAGAAGAGCTTCTTTCTACAAGGAAATGAGAAACATACAGTTCTCATGCTACATTTGTGGGAACAATTCCTCTGTGGATTATCTTCTGCGCCTTTGTTGGTTCTATGGGATATTCACTCTTGTCTTGAGCAAACGAAATCCTGGATTTGCTTTCTAATAATTATACATACATTATCTTAGCAGTCTTTCATCTTTCATGCGGAACAATTTTCTTCCCCATTCTTCTCAGCATGCCGTCGTTTCTCGTGTGTCATTTCTGGATTTAACAACTCTTTCCATAAGATTTGCCTCCTCTGTGGAGCACTGTTTTTGCATGATTACATCTCATGTTGTGCTCCCACTATCTGACAACAGGGATTGGGCTTACATAGCAAATGTGAGGCTAAATCTCCAACTCAGCAGGTGGATCCAGCTGTGGAATCCTAGACCTTTCCCCATTTATTTGTGTTGAGTTTCGAAACATTCCTTTCACTGCATCATTAAAATACTCAATGGGTATCTTTTGTAAGGCGTTCTCTGCCTCCACAAGGCTGTTGCAAAGTGGTTGTCAGTGGAAACAGTTGGTGCTGCAAATTTCTGCTTCTTTTTAGTTGGCAGGGATTACTGTACTTCTCTGGCGTTTGAAACACCTGTGGAAGGATGGAAAACAAAATAAACATTGTACATGAATAGAACAGAGTTGGTTTTCATGCCATATGGAATCTTGGTATTTTGTCACGCACCATCTTTCAACGGATAGACTTTCTCCCATGTCCGTCTCTCACATCTGTCTCTCACATCCGTCTCTCACGACTGTCTGTCTTAAGCATCCTGCGCAGGAGACTTTAAGCCACTAGGGGGCGCATTGAACATGCACAAAAATCCCATTCATTATACCACGTGCTTGGAGAAACTTGACAAAATTCGCACCCAATAACCCAAATTACAGTATTTACAATTCTTCTTTGTTTTGGCCATACTCTCAACAGCGCATCCAGTTCATAATTAATTGGTAGCATGAAGGACTTGGCCAATTTAAAATCCACAGGGGAGGGGTTAAGGGGGCTTGTTTTACTGGCTGGTGGCAGGTCCAGGGCAGTTGGAGAGAGGAGCATTTGAATGAGATTAGATTTAATTAAGGCACAGGCTCCCTCCCGGACCACGCACTACTTTTACATACAAATGGGATGTGTGCCAAGACGCCTCTTGTTGTGGATTCAAAGTGTGCGCTGCTAAATATTCCCCCAGGTCTTGAAGGTCAGGGACTCAAAGAGAAACATGGGGCGTACTGTCTCAAGAAATAATACAGCTGGGAGAAGCAAAGACGGATAACTAATGTTGAAAGTAACTGTCTGCATAGGATGTTATTTTACTGTGTTTTGAGCCAATAAAGACATCACAAAAGTTGCATATAGTGTACTTCACAGGTTTGTTCTTGCGTTGTCGAGTTTGGTCATTGTTCTAACTGCAAGATGAAGGGTACATGTATGTATATGTATGTGGGTATGGGAGGACATAGGACTTCAATGATGACAAAGATACAGGTGCAGGGGCGAGAAAGGGCAGTGTAGCTGTAGGCAGTGAACAAAAAGTGATCTACGTTTGGGGAAACCAAGGACTTTTTTTTGCACAGCAATCTGGCCACTCTTGTCCTAGTCTACATTGAACTTCAGAAGTGGCTTTACATTAGCACCAAAACAATCTATTTCTGACTAAAATCTTATAAGCAACTTCTTGTTAATTTTGCATATTTAATTTTCAATTTGAAGTGTCTATATTTAGTTGAGAGTAAACCAAATGTCTATTAAAGCTGGGGTACTTTGATAGACTCTGTTTAGTTCAATCACATACATATAGGCACCGGGCTCTTTTTAAACATGTAAAAGATGACATGTTTGCAGACCATTTTACTTTTACAAAACTGTTTCTGTTGGAACAAAGTCAAAGTATAATGTATGAAAAGTATGATAATTAGCTACCCCAGCTTTAAATCTGAAAAAGAGGTTGCGTATCCAAGCAGTCGATCAAACAACATTTATATGACATTAGCATGACTGTTTCTCACCTTAAATCTATCTGCCAGTCTTGTCTCAATAATAATTGGTTTGGGTTGATTGCCAACAAATATCTGACTACTAATTGGTGTAGATTAGAATGTACAGTTGACCGTTTATTCTCTTCTCAGGAAAAAAAAACAGTAATTATTTTCTTTTGTTCAATCGCACGCTAATTAAAGGCCTTGTTTGTGAGTACTTAATTGAGTGGACAGTTTACAAAGCAAAGCTCATATGTAATTGCTGATGCACAAAATACAGCATTACTTAAACAAGATGCAAGAAAACAAAAAAAAAAAAAAAAACTGTTACAACTGCTTTCCTCAGTTTATTCTTAAAGAAACTGGCATTTGGTATGAGTCAAGACAAGATTGTAGCAAATGGGCGAGGCAAGAAAAGTGTATTTACTGTATATAGAACAGTTTATACACAAGGTAAAGTGAAGATACAATCCTTCATTTGTCTGCACATCTAAACAGACTGTGAAACTGTGAAAGCCTGTCTCACATTTTCAGGAAGACTGTTACAGATTTTAGCTGCATAAATCTGAAACGCTGCCTCCCCATGTTTAGTCCTGACTCTGGGCAACAGACAGAGGCCAGTCCCTGTGCTCCTCATAGTCAGAGTTGGTTCTTTTGGCACTAACAGGTCACGGATGTGCTTTGGTGCGAGGCCATGAAGAGACTTGTACATAGAAAGAAAAAGTAAATGACTGAATAATTAAATCATCCTTAATGCGCTTTAAACATGTTTTTTATAGCCATATTTTTCACAGCATCCACAACTTTCAGGGTGACTTTGGGTTTCTTTCCACAAAAAGCTTTGAGGTCCTGACTGGTGGACGGCAGAGTAATCCCCACATTGGCTAAACCTGATATTCGAATAGAGCCTGAGACTGAAAATGCTGTCTCAAATGCTGTCTCAAAAGCTGAGCGCTGCTGCTTTTTCGGGAAAATCTCGCTCTTACAGATACCAGTATACAGACTATTTTTTACTTTTGACCAAATTAAGTTTAGAGTAATCTGCTAGAGCTGCATGGTATATTGAAAAATGTAGTTATTTCACCCAAATGACCCAAACTCACATAGTTTATTGAGTATATACTTCTGTGACTGAATTAACAGTGTATCATTTAATTCCTTCATAAACAAATCAAAGTCAGTATCATCAATGTGTATTATATAGCAAATCAAACAAGCACATATTAATCTTTCTAATTATCTATCCTTATTTTCCTTTCACATGATTTCGACCAAACAGGTGATATTGAATTATTTCCAAGGCACACTAAGTAGTAAGTAAGTAATCTTTATTTATATACCGCCTTTTCACTGCACATCAGAGTCTCAAAGCGGTTTACAATTGTGATTTTTGGGAGTGGGGGTGCCAGTACAGGAGGCACATGCCAGACCTATTGTACCTATTGTACCTATTTTTAGTGGTAGGGGAAACCGGAGCACCCGGAGGAAACCTACGCAGACACGGGGAGAACATGCACACTCAGAAAGGCCCTGGTCCAACCGGGATTCGAACCCTGGACCTTCTTGCTGAGAGGCGAGAGTGCTATCCACTCAGCCACCGTGCCGCCCAGTACACTAATAAACATCTCGAGGCACACTGGTTAAAAACACTGCTATACAACACTAACGCATATCGCAATTTTTTTCCAATAATTTGTAACGCTACAATCTACTATTATCTACTATTACTACTACTACTTTTTGGTTATACATATTTCTTGTCTCTTTGAATATGTCAGTGACTGGCCTGAACTCTCCCATAATGTGAGCAGTAATATGTGACTTGGCTACAGAAGAAAACTATTTTAAAGATTTTTTTCCAAAAGCATCATGAACTCCCTTTAAGCAGAGACGTGTGAAGGCGATACAGAAAGGCAAGGAGCTTGAACTTTTTTGGAGGAGAGCGGTGATGAGATGTTTACAGGCCCTTGAGGCAAAACTGTTATTTGAGTTGAACTTTTATGTTGTTTGTTCCTCATTAGCGCAGACTCACTCCAGATTTTTTCAAATAAATACCAACTTTCCGCTTCGTTAGTGCGCCTCCAATACGTGTGATATCCTTGATTGATCTTTAAAAACTATTATCAAAGATCTGCCAGATTGAAACAAAACCTTTTTTCTAAACCATAGACCAAGTTGTGCGTTTTCTTATGAGTCTGACTGTGGGACTACATAAAGAAATATACAATTTATAATACAATACAATTTATTCTTGTATAGCCCTAGATCACAACAGTAGTCATATCAGAGGACTTAACAAAACCATTGAAATCACCAACACAGATCAGAGAATCAACAGTTAAGACACAAAAAGAATATAGAACACATGTTGATATAGATCCAGAACCTAAGCTACAGAACGTGGACCAGGGCCACGCAGCGGCCGCAAAACGTGGACCAGGGCCACGCAGCGGCCGCAGAACATGGACCGGTCCGGTGCAGGGCTGAAGGAGGAGGCCAGCTTCAGAGGTCCTGTCATCGCACCATGAAACAGACAATGGGACAACGGGTGAATAGCAATGAACAGACTACAGTCAAAATCCTAACGATCCAGACAGATAAAGTAGGAAGGAGGATAGACTGGAAAAAACTCAAAGATTAAGAGATCCTTTATTTGGGAACGACTGAGCGGTAAAATTGGCTTTTTTTGTCAAAAGGCAAAACTTTGCCTTTTGACTCTTTGAATTTTGAAAAGATATTTACCACCTGAAATGTTATCTTGGCAGCAATATGTAAAAGGTGTTGTGGGGATGGATAAGTTTTCTTTTTCCAACTCTCATTCAAACACTGTTCATCATTTTGTTTGTATATACTGTATATTATTTGTATTGGTTTTGCTATAAAACATACTATACTTATGGCAGTATGAGGTGAATTTGACATAGGGGAATGTTTAAGACTGAATTGATTGTGTTCAACATCTATTTTCTTTGGTCACTTATAAATTGGCAACATGCTTTTCTCTATACGTGCACACAGTAAACAAGTTTCACCGCTTACATTATATTATACACTGCACGGATGTCCACAGCATGTTGTGAACGGTTTTATGGAGTAAACACATTTGCATATTGTGCATCGTCTTCCCTGATTGAAATGCTCCCACTGTGCATCTCCAGTCAGCACAAATGTTTAAGCGATGTCCCCCGCTCCCATCTGGAATAATAAACCCTCCCTGGGATCTAAGTGATCCCTTCTCGCCTGAGCTCATACATCCACATCATGTTTTTTACTGCTTTGGCCACAGCTTCTTTTCATCATGGCTGTCCCTGGGCCCTTCCTGAGAAAAACATGGTAATCTACCCCAGCCCCTGGTCGCAACTCCGCCTTCTCTCATCTCCAACGATACGGCCCTTGTCGCATTTTATCTCAATCGGCTGCACGCTGTTGTGGCCTCACGCGGAATTATTTAGCCCCTGTGTCTCTATCACTTTGCTTCTTTTGGATGAAAAGTGGTGGGCCTTGTTAAGATGCACAGGTCCCATGAGTAACCTCTGCTCTGCGAAGCCTTGTAGTTGTTCAGAGGAATGCCACCGCTCCTGCATGCGCTCTTATCTCAGAGCAGCTGCGTTCCTTAAATCAAAACCCACTTCTCCAAAAGGAAAACCATTTATTGTGGAGTATTTATGTCTCTCACTCTCTCATCCATCTTCATTCCAATCTCATTCTAGGGCCACAACTCATCCTCTAATATTCTCTCTGCAGCAATTTTCTCTAAATTATAATACCGTCATGTGTGTTCTTGGCTTAAAGGCTCCAAAACTGAGTGTGTTTACGAAGCACTCGTGAAAACCAAGTCCTCCACATAACTCCAGTTTAATTCCTGTACGTGCCATTTGAGGTGGGTTTGAGCGCACTCAGAAAATCCAATCTTGTATTAGAAATGTATGGATTTGGACAGGTCTATAGGGTACTCACTAGTTTTGTTCAAGATCAATGCCCAGTCCCTCGCACAAGTAAATATAAGGTGATTCGCTTATAAAATATGCATGATAGTGATTTTATTTACAATTGTTTGTAAAAGTTTTAGTAATAAGGGAACTGCAGTCAGGACCAAAACATCATCGGAATCAGAATCAGAATAATTGTAAATATTGTAACAGGAAGTAACAGGAAGTCACAAGCTTCCTTTGTTATATTGTGCAAACAAGTTATACAAGGTAAAAAATAAAAAATAAATAACAAGAAGGCATGCATAACGAATCTTAATCAAATTCAGATATAAAAATACACTAAATATACACATATTTAACATTGCAGACCTGTTGATAATCACATCTAAATGAGTGCAGGTTTTAATTGTGATCCTATTTCCTATGCTTTCTGACTCCTCCCCTTTTCGCTCTCTTTATATAGTTGGAAAAAACATACCTCACAATCCGAATTCTTGATTGCATTACATTTGGAACATAAGAACGTTAACATCCAAATGGGTTATTATTAGTAAATATTAAAAATTGTGAAATGTAGTACACGTTATAGCTTCTGAAAATACATAACAGTATTTTTGATCACTGGCCCAAATGATAAAGCTTCAGGACTAAGCGACTAACCCCATTTTGAATTATAATGGGGGAAAATTAGCCTCCCTCGCTTAATGGCTCCATCACCACCGTCCATTTGGAAATACTAAACGGCCAATACAATAGATAATGGTAATAGCTCAAAGCTGTGTCAATAGACGGTTGAATCGGATTTTTGTCAATTATAACCGCTGTCAGTGGCTTGGGAGGGAGAGCAATCATGTCATGAGGAGAGGCTGAGGTGGTCACTTGTTTCGATCGGTCTTAATGGCACTTTGTCCGTTGGAAAAGTACTAAGCTGGTCGGTCTATTGAGCAAAATTGAAACTTCACTTGATACAGCCCTGTAACAATAGTTCATGTTACCAAAAATCATCTGATAACTCACATTAGAACAAAGTTGTAGCCACTAATGTCCAGAACAGTTTATAATCCTTATTGTTCTTTTTTTGTATCGTGCATTAAAAGGTACATTTCTCAATCCAGGTGATTTTAGAGGTTGAAAAATGTTGTTCCATTGTTGAAGGATCCTGGTCACTGTTGCATACACACAAACCCTTGATGAATACTATCAAGGGTTAATATTTGGGGTGATCTCTATATTCCTTGTATAGAGTTTTTCCTTGCAGATGCAGGAGGGTCTAGAGGGTCTAAGAACAGTGGTGACAATCCAGGACATTCGACGTTAAACAACTAATGACTAATTATGGATATTAGTCAACTGCCCCTTATGGACCAATGGCTATGAGTTTTACATAATTGCATTTCTTGTGTTTGAACTGTTTGATTCTCCGAGATGACTGCTGTTTTGATTTAAGGCTATACAAGAAAAAATTGAATTGAATTGAATTTCTACTGTTCTTGAATGGATGCACACTGGCATTTTCCCCATTATTGGAATAATTTTGAAAGAATGTGTCATAATCTGTTGTGTGTCTCCTGTCTTTCAGAGGCCCCGGGACAGGACTTTGTGACCCTGGACTACCGCCTCCGCTACTACCCCAGCATCACATATGCAGTCATAGGCAGCGCGGTCATCTTCGTCCTGGTGGTGGCGTTACTGGCTCTGGTCCTCCATCACCAGAGGAAGAGGAGTGTCCTGCTTCCCAGAGGGGTACGGGGCGGCTCACATCACCACCAGCCCCTGCTCCTGTCCCGCCTGGTGATCTTAGACCGCATGGCCCCCAGCAGCAGCAGCAGCACGGCGGGGCAGTACAGCTCCACACCACAGGCTCTGCAGCTGCTCTCCGGGACGCTGTACCCATCAGGACTCTCACTGGACTCTCCTCCGTCATACTCACAGGCTGTTCTGGACGCCAGGTAACTGCAGTCAAAGGATACCTCAGGTCCATATGTGTTTATCACTATGTCTGGATGACTTTTCATCCATCTGTCCAAGTTAAAAGGCTGAACCAGGACGCTCTATGCCTGGGCTGAATCAAGAACTGTTTTTATAAGCCATACATACAATAGTAGAAGGTTTATGTAAACTGTTTTAAGAAACTTTTTGTCGCCCCTATCTCCTTCACACAAGAATTAAGCCATGAAACACGATCTAGTAATTTATTGCAGGTTTCTTTCCATATACATGAATAAATATATTTATATTTTTTGTAAATATGTATTAATAAGATGAAAAAATACATTTGTTTTGAATCTACAACTACAAACAATGCAGGTAGAAATCTATTCTAGTTACCAGTAACTATAGACTATTTTTCAAATGACAATTAGACATGTGCATGGTTTACATCATATTACTCCTTAATGGTGCTGTGAATGAACTGGTCACCTCCTATAAGTATCTGTGGTTTTATCTTCACAAAAAATAAACCTTTGACAACATAATCAAGACAAGGTTATCATTCGAAAATCCTTTCTTTCACTATGTCCTTTATCACCGGCGAAGCACTCAAAACTCAGCACTGTACAATTTACCAGAAACTAGGTTGGCCTTCGCTGTCGAACAATACACATTCATTTATTGAGGACATATTGAAAAACTGCTCGTTTCTGACATGTTTGCTCAATGGAACTCTGGCTCTCAGGACATGATCACAGGGCCATTCGCCTTTCAGAACTGCTCATACAAAAGCTGAACTCAAAATGAAAGCTTTGAATAGTATTATCTGAGAACAGATTTGTATTTTAATAATAATAAACATATAATAAACATTTGAGTTGTATAGGCTTCACTGTGCAGGCATCACCTCTATTCATTTTATGCTTATATATGTGTGTGTTGAAAAAGAGTACTGGCCCTCCCTGGATACATATAGCTAATGAAATAGATAAATACGACATCTTGGTAAATTTTAATTTTAATATTTTCTCTCCCTGTAGCCGGCCTCCATGGTTCGACCTGCCCCCTCCTCCGTACAACCCAGAGGAAGCGGTCCCATCAGAGAGTGAACTACCCCAATACGAGGCAACCCAGAACCCCAGCTCGGTGCATCCGTCTGTCCCGTCCAGGACTTTTCCCACAGACACAAGAACTGACTCCACACAAGAGCCCCAGCATCCAGAGACGTTGTAAAGAAAACAAAACAACAAATTGGGTTGAGGACCATAGACTCTCACAGTGACGGCGTAGTGGACCTGTTGCACTGGCCTCTCAACGTTCAAGACTGGTGTGAGGCCGCCCCCTGCTGGACTTAAGGCATCATTACAACACTTTTTAAAGAACGTGTTTTCCTATGCGCATTTTTATACTGATCTGTAAACATGTGAGGATCAACGCAGGTTTTGGAGACATACTAACATTTAGGCTTGTATGATACATCTTTGGACACAATGTAAAAAGTTTAACATAATTAGCCAGCTTTTTACTGAATGAAAAGTAGTCTACATGACAATCAGACTGAATTGAATCTGTTCCATAGCTATGTAACCTTTCCAAAGATGTGATTTTCATTCACTGCACTACATCCATTTTGTTTCTTTGGACTGGAGTAAGACGCTTATGTAATTAGTCTGAAAGCCTAAAGTCATTGTTTATTATTTGGAGAGTATACTGTAAAGCAATGCAGAACAAATAGTAAGAATAGGATAGAAGAATAAGAAGAAAACATGTATCTTTATGATTAATGTGTTGGTGATTGATTTATTACCAAATGTTACTTTTTGTGGCACAGACCAAGTCTTTCCATTTGTTTGAGGTACAGAAGCAGCTTTTGTTAAATAACATATCAATATAAAAGCACCAGACTTAACTAAAACATGTTTTGCACATAATTCTTATGCAGACTAATCTACACGTGCCTATGTTTTTAAAAGCCTATTCTATCGATCAAGCGACAATAATGTTTGAACTGGGTTGTTTCATTGACCCCTCATGAGAGATGGGTTTTTGTAAAGAACTTTGAAGACAATGTTTATTCTATTCTACTGAAACTTGTTGATATTATCTTTAATCATTCCTTTAGTTTGAATATGTACTGATTTAACCGTGAGTGCCTTTTATTTGATGGACAGCATTCGCAAAGACAATCAAATTCGTTCTTTGTTTGTGTTTTCTGACCACAGGTTTGAGTTGAATTTGCGATGCCGTCTTGAAAGTCAAAGTCCCGCACTGATGCTGAAGTCTGAAGGAAGTGTTTTTTTCTGACTGTTTTGTTCAACACTGTATATGAGATAGTGTGTGGGTAAATAGTTGTATTTAATAGAAAGAATGTGGATCAATGTAAATATGATTTTATAATAGTGATGTGTGTTTCTGCTAAACAATCAAACCAAAGATAATTGTGTTCCTTTATGTTCACTGTGTCACATTCACATCACAGACCATCATCTCTTTTGCTGGAAAACTGGAAATCATGGCTCAACAGCAGCAGCAGCAGCAGCCCTCATTCTCCGTCATGTAGTGTGCAGTAATGCTCTCACAGTTCAATGATTCTGTAATGTACATTTAAAGTAATATAAAAGGATTCATCTGTCATTTGTCTGTGTGTTGCATTTGTTTGTTGAGGGGGTGTGTTTATAGTCTCATGAGCTGTACGGACATGCATGGTCTCAAAAAGGGTGCGTGACAAAAACTCTCAAGACTATAACAGATACCGTATGTGTCTCTTTACAAAACAAGTAAAGCAACAAGAGAGCCGTATTGGTAGGAATAAGAATATATTTTTTCTGATCTCCAAGTTAAATAAATCCCAAATACTGTTGCGGTTTCTACATATAAATTCTAATATTGTATCTGTCCAAAATTGGTCAGCTAATACTTTTGACTTTATTTTTAACAAACTTGCAAAGACTTGTGTCTATTCCTTCAATCAATATGTACTAAATATAAAAACACATTTTGCCATAGATTGAGAAAATACATATGTATCAACATATTTTCCAGGTGAGGGGATTTTTTGCATAACTATTTCCTTTTGTCCGTCCCCAAAAAAATACGTTTTCTAAAATTAGAATGTTAACAAATCAGACCACAACATGCTGTGCTCATGAAGAACATTTTATTTTTCTTCTTTTTTTAAAGTGAGTCACAATTTGACTATTTGGCCACAAATAGATAGTCCCAACCTGATTTAAGGCAGATGGATTTTGCATACATCCATATCTGGGGTTCAAAAGTTATTTAATCCAGTTTTGAGTGTTATTTGAAACGTATACGTTGTCGTTTATTCATCTAACATTACATTTAAATTAAACTTCAATTGGATGCAGTATCAGTTTCTGCCTGCAGATGTCACCCTTTCCCTACTAAATGAAGCCACCCTCTGCTTCTCCTGAATTACCTTTACAACGCTTCAATGATATATATTCATTTTCATTTGCCTCTTTTCATTGTCAGTGTCATCATCCTGGCTCACTACTTCCTATCTCCATAATAAATGTCCTCCACGTTAACCACAATAACCTTTTGCCCTGCCCCTCCCCGCCTAATATCCGCATGACGTTAGAATCCATCAGATACCATCAGATACCATCTTAGTGGCCTTCTCCTCATCACTCTACCTGTCTGCTCTCCCCACCACAACATTATGACACCCACTAGTATATATATATATATTTTTTTTTCTTATGACACTACCCCCACCCTGGCTCTGTGGCGGCTGGCCCTTGCTCCTCTCCTTCATCTCCAGTTGTGGTGCAGAGGCCCATGTTTGCTTAGCCTCGGCCCTTCACTATACAGGGTTTTTAATTAAAAGGCTGCACGCTCCACACTTTGTCTCTCTCATGCCAGATGGTAGACGGCTGATTATTTCAAAATTGGTGCATTAAAAAAAGCAATGAATTTATTAGTATTTCAATCGTCCATCAGTATAGAGCAGTGTTGATGTGTCATATGAGAATGGCTATTCAGAAGTTATATTTTAGTTACTGATGTGATTTCACTTCTTAAAACCCACTTTTTTCAAACTTCCTCTAACTGTCTGTTTTAAACTTGTATTTTACTTTTCCACATTGACTTTGTTTTAGTTTTTTCTTGTTGTGTGGAGTGTGTCAGTTTTATTCTCCTGTGTTTATTTTTGAATATTATAGTTTATAGTATTATGACTGTTTTGTTGATTTTTTAAATAGTTTTTATTGTTTTATGCTGACTGTGCAGCGCTTTGTAACCACTTTTTTTTTAAAGTACTATATAAAGATTTATTATCATTTATTTATTTCATTCAAAATGACATCACAAAAACAACCAAAAATGCCAAGGCCATATACATTCATTCATTAATTCATTCATTTTCAACCCCTTTATTAGTCCATTTCTGGGTTGGGGGGTGGCAATGAGAGCTGCCACCCAATGCTCATGGCACCAGTCCCTCGCTGATCCTCTGCAGGTGGTGGGTCCACAGGAAGATGGCTGCTACATCAGTGGTGCCACAGCCTTGGTGTTTCAGTGGAAGCTTCAGACAATGTGGGGTTAAGTGTCTTGCCCAAGGACACAACGACAGCAGACATCAGTGGGAACAGTTGGAGTAGGTCCTGTGATGGGCACGAACCCACAACCTTCCGGCCTAAAGGCCAATGTTCTACCAACAAGTCTTATAATATCTGCCTCACACACATGTTGTCTTTTTTATTGAAAAATAATTGTATACATACATCTATTTACAGTCATTTATGTGAAAAATGTATAATAGCCTTAAGCGTTACTTTTGTGTGTTTTTGTGATTTATATTGTTCATTTTTTTAGTGAAGGAATTTTGTGACGTTGATGTTTCGCACATTTCTATTGGCTAATTGTTACATTTTTTCCATTCAATGAAAATTCTGTTTTTATGCAAAACTTCCATTAATTCCATCATCTAAATGTTGCATACAGTCCACGACAAAACCTCTGCTCCACAACAGGTGGCTAATCTCAAATATGTGTCCTTCAAAACAGCCCCAACTCCCGTTTGAATGAATGTTTTTGTGTGAGATCACAACGCCTGAGGGCTCCATTCTGATGGCGAACACACTCTCCTCAAATTCCAGTCTCCTTCCTCGAATGTGATCTATTATAAAACAAGAGGGTAATTAGAGCCGGGAGAAACTCAACTTTCTCCCATTGTGTAAATTCAATTTTTTGCTCCAGAATGTGTATTGTAAACCTAACGCTAACCCAAAAATATTGTATCCATCCAATTATAAAAAAGTAAATGCTTGTAGGTAAAGTTTGTTTATTTGTTGTTGTTTTTTTTTTTTAACGTAACGGTGTTCTAAATACCCCAAATTGAATGTCCATCCGCTGTCCCACAGTCGAACTAACACACACACACAAACTGAATTATATTGTACATGTTTTTTAGTGGGAGGGAAAACTGGAGCACCCGGAGGACACCTACACATCCTATAGGAATCGATCACTAACCATTGCTTTATGCCTGTAAGTTAATTTTTCACAGTGTGTTCAAAAGTGGATGTCTCTATTTCTCTCTTTTGCATGAAAAAGATGTTTTAAAGCTGCATGCAGGTGTATACTTCCTACTTTCAGGTACCCAAGCTTTAAATTGTGGTGGTCATAACATCCATCCATCCATCCATTTTCTTCCCCTTAATCCATTTCTGGGTCGGGGGGGTGGCAGTCAGAGCTGCACCCAGTACACTAAGCACCAGCCCCTCACTGATCCTCCTGCAGGTGGTGAGTCCACAGGAGCTGAGCTCTTTCAGTGTGGGCTCCAGGCAAAGTGGGGTTAAGTGTCTTGCCCAAGGACACAGCGACAGCAGTCATCAGTGGGAGTTGTGAAGTAGGTCTTATGGTGGGCTCGAACCCACAACCTTCAGGCTCAAAGGCCAATGCTCTACCAACTGAGCCACTGTCACCCCTGGTCATAACATATCACAGAACTCATTGACTGCCAGCCGTTTTTGTTGATTTAACTGATTCTCAAGACCCACAGAATATTATATGCTAAGACTATGTGACTATATGAAACCAGATTCTGAAAAACTGGATTGTTTATTTTCATCAGAAAAAATAAGTTTGTTTCTAGTTTTTTCTGTTGATAAGATAAGATAAGATAATAATTCCTTTATTCGTCCCACAGTGGGGAAATTTCGATGTTGCAGCGCACATATAGGACAGTAGTAAGAGCACACAGGGAG